GTCAGAATGGCTAAAATTAACAAGTCAGGAAAGGACAGATGTTGCCGGGGATGTGGAGAAAGGGGAACACTCCTACACTCTTGGTGGGAATGCAAGCTGGTGCAGCCACTCTGGAAAACAGTATGGAGGTTCCTTGAAATAAAGCTACCCTATGACCCAGTAATCGCACTACTGGGTATTTACCCCAAAGATACAAATGTAGTGATCCGAAGGGGTATGTGCACCCCGATGTTTATAACAGCAATGTCCACAATAGCCAAATTATGGAAAGAGCCAAGATGTCCATCAACAGATGAATGGATAAAGATGTGGCATATATATATACAATGAAATATTATGCAGCTTTCAGAAAAAAACAAAATCTTGCCATTTACAATGATGTGAATGGAACTAGAGTGTATTATGCTGAGCGAAATAAGTCAATCAGAGAAAGACAAGTATTATATGATGTCACTGATATGAGGAATTCTTAATCTCAGGAAACAAACTGAGGTTTGCTGGAGTGGTGGGGGGGTGGGAGGGATGGGGTGGCTGGGTGATAGACATTGGGGAGGGTATATGCTCTGGTGAGAGCGCTGTGAATTGTGTAAGACCTATACCTCTGAAACAAATAATACATTATATGTTAAAAAAAAAAAAGAAGATAGTAGAAAGGGTAAAATGAAGGGGGGAAGTCAGAGGGGGAGACGAACCATGAGAGATTATGGACTCTGAGAAACAAACTGAGGGTCCTAGAGGGGAGGGGGTAGTGGAATGGGTTAGCCTGGTGATGGGTATTAAAGAGGGCATGTATTGAATGGAGCACTGGGTGTTTTATGCAAACAATGAATCATGGAACACTACATCAAAAACTAATGATGTAATGTATGGTGATTAACATAACAATAAAATAAAATAAAAAAAAGAGTAAAAGAGAATTATACTTCATTCTCTCAAACACAAAACTAGGAATAGTAGTGGAACTTCTCTAAGATCCAATGAGATATGATACTACTACTACTAAATATTTTTAATTATAATAACATGCCAATTTCTATCTTATCTAATATTTAATTAATAACAAAAACAGCACTTAAAATTCAGTGGGAAAACTGTTACATGCATTCCATTTAGAAGATAGAAATAGTTTTTCATTTGAATTAGGATTACCAAGGTCTTAACTCTCTGCTACTTCTATTACAGAATTCTCAGAGTTGGGAGAGGTCTTCGAGGATATCTCATCCAACATCTCCTCCTCTCCATAATCAAAGTACTTCAGAGATGAGTTAATTCCCTTTCCTTATTCCATTCTCTCTAGCCTCCTCCTATCAGGGAGTTGTTCTTACGTGATTCTTCAGGTGTCTGTGTAGAGCAGCTAATCCTCAGTGATCCAATGTTGAGGGTGGCCATGATGGTCTCTGCGTCTACCAAAGCTGGGTTGCTTGATGCCTTGGATGAGGAGGATAAAACAGCACACATGGAACATTCCTCTATGTTGGCTGCATAGAGGTCTTCAGGAAAGAGTGCAGATCCCTAATGAGAGAAAATCCAGTAGAGGAGGGACTTCTCAGATGGAGGGATTTTATATAATGGCTCATGGTGATGCCTCTTTGTGGGTGATGCAATTTTTGAGCCAGCGCCTCTCCAGCCTTCACTGAATTGGTTTTAAGACTTAGTTACCTGATATCTGAACACATTTAGCCTCATTGATCATTAATATCTTAGTGAGACTGAATTTCACAGACCCTACCTGAGAGCAAGTCTGGACGAGCCAAAGGAGGGTAAAGAGGGAGGAGCCTACATCCATTCAGATGATTCAAGTGGGAGAAGTAAAGTAGGGATAACAGTAGGGGTAACAAGAAACATTCAGAGAAAGGGGAAGTAATGGATCTAAAGGCAAATTTTGCATCCCCACAGTTTTGCTTGCAGCTGACCTTTTCTGTACCCTCTGGATTAACTAGCGTAGTGGTGGTTGCTTCTTTCCCAATTTGGTGGAGAAATAGGGATAGATCTGGTTCTGCCTTCAGGTAGCTTAGATATGAATACCAGTAATTCCTAACACTAGCTGGATCTAGAGATTTCTGGTCCTTTTCCTTTTTTTCTTTCTATGGCCTAAAGTAAGGGTACAGTGCAGAGAACCTTATGGTGGCTTTTTAAAGAAGCAAATGAAATTTGTTCCTTGAGAGAACCATTTTTGAAATTTGAACAATATTATATATTGTCAGCATTATTTCATGAAAAAATTACATGCTTGGGTGCATTTCACATTGCACCTATCTTTTTTTTTTTTTAAATCCAGGGAAATAGTGGCATACAATGGCGTACAGGTGTATAAATGTTCAGAGCAAATACAATTACAACTATAATGCCAAATATGCATAATGGATCCATTTCTCAGAAATGTAAACCTAATTCCTCTTTCTCATACATCTATCAAGGACTATGTGGCATTATGTATTCCATAAAAGATGTGTCTTCAGAAAAGATGAGAAAGTCAGAGCACAAAGGCTAGCTAGTATCAGTTTAGCTGTGGACATTAAGTTAGAATCAGATTCTGAAATGTAGAGAAACTCTTATTTATATAAAGACCATAAAATATGATTAGAAACATAAAACATAAAATGTAGTAGCTCCTGGGCATAAACTCTGGAGCCACAATGTCTAGATTTAAATCCTTGTTCTGCTACTTACCTGCTGTGTAAACTTGGACAGGTTACCTACTCTCTCCATGCCCAAAGTCCAACACCTTTAAAATCTACCCCATAAGATTATTTTGAGGGTTAAATGAGTTAATATATATGTAATTCTTAGAACAGTTTTTGATACCAGTAAGCACTGTACAACTACAAGCTACTGTTTCATTATTTATTAATGCTAGTACCATTAGTGTTGCCATCATTATAAATATTCACTATCTCTAATGTGACACTTACAGGTAGAATATATATCCGGGGAAAATTCCGGAGAAATAGCCATTCTCTCTTCAGGTAATCCAGAGACCCAATGAACACAATGTCTTTCAGCTCTGGCCGTGTATAGCTGCTAGCTCTCAAGGGCATTACAAAATTCCGAAGCCCCATCAATGTTGAGGTAGCATCTCCAAAGACACATGCTACCACATGGTTCCGAAACTCATGTTTTGACTTGTCCATTCGTTTCTAAGCATAAGCATGCCAGAGTCTGGTCAGTTTTAGAAACAAGCTGAGAGTCTCTCAAAGAGGGCTCTGTCCCCTCATACCAACTCTTCCAGGTACATCCATAGGAGGACTTTCATAAGGACAATGAAATTCTGCAAATTGCTCATAAAATTGAATTTACCTACCATGAGGCAATTATACTTTTTATCTTTTTGTGGAGTTCCTTCTTATTCCACTTTTAAAAGTCTTTTATTAGCATGGAGTGCATCAATTAAAACTCAGATTAGTGTCATTCCTCAAGGTGTGAAACCATAGAACCAAATGGGGAACACATCTTTTATTTTCATTATGTGGTTTTGGCCTTGTATTCACTATAGTAAGATTCAATGAAAAACTAAAACATTACAAATTCCATTGCTAAATGTATGTCTTCTAGTGAGCCCTGAAAATCACATAAAGTTGTACAACATGTTGCAGTTTTTGGTGGATTTTCATACATATGAAAATACCTATTAGTTTGGAACATACGAAATTGCCTTTTTATGGGTCAAGTTGAGTATTGGTAACTTCATATGGTTCAACCTAATATATCAAACTCACTCAACAGATGCTTTTCAGAGTTGAGGAAATGCATTATGCAAAGTGCAGAAAAGAAATTAAAAGGTCACAAAAATTCCACTTGAACCCAAACATTTGAACATGTCACATACTACCATCAGCATCACTGATTGTTAACATTTTCTCTGTATCTCCAAGTAGTACCTCCAAATAATCATATACATGAAAAATATTTAAATGAGCTTTTCCCCACATTCACAGAGACTTTTAAGAGTAATAAATGTAACTTAAAAAAGAGAGAGAGACATGATATTCCTGTAGGAAATTCATTTCAAGCCTTTGTCTGATTTCTTCCAGGGAACGAGTCCGTGTCTTCCCTCGTGGCTCTGGAATGGGCTAGAAAGAGCACTGGATCTGAAGAAAGACCTGATTCTGTATTCTGTTGTATGATTGTGAACAAGCTAGCTTACCCTCTGACACTCAATTTCTTTAAGTTTGAATGGTTTAAAAATAAAAGCTAATTCTGTTGTGGAAATGAAATAATATATTGGAAGTACAGTGCTCAACTCATTAGCTCTTGTTCAATACCTGTTAATCAACTCTGAATCTTTTGAATTCCTAGAGTTTCAGAGGAGGACTCTTGGAAGCTGGTAGAGTACAGGTTAAATGCATGTAGAAGCACTTCATACATGAGTGTGGTCTATATTCCTCAGCATATGAAGACTCAGAATACTTCAAATGGATATATCATCCTGCCCTACGCCCATATTTAGCTGGGTTAAATGACAAGTTTCTGTGAAACAGGGGGTGATAAAACCTAACAAGATAAATAAGTAACATCTGACATCTCCATAATTAGTTTGTCAAATTAGCATATACTAGAAAATACTCTCTTTTCAAAGGGAATTGCCCTGTGAGGGGAAATAAAACTACTTGTCTGGAGAGCCTTCCTGGAGAGTGATGTGAATCTTAACCAAATCTATTAAATAATTGTCTCTAGCTAATCCGATTAGTTTTAACTTGAATAATGAAGCCTCTAACGGTATTTAATGTAACATGCCTGAAGTCCAATGATTGCTCTTCTGAGTAGAACTAAACAATTAGAAACAAGATACATGGCAGAGTGCATTAATGGGCACAGCCAGAGAGGCAATTTCTCCAAGAAATTGTGGCACAAAACTGTCTCCCAATTGAGAAAGATGGTGACTTTTGGAGGAAGGGGAGGACGCACTATTTGTTCAAAGTAACTTAAATCAACCACTTCCACTTGACCCTTCTGCAAATGAAACCAAATTCAAAGCCCCCCTGAATTCTGCAATATGGACATTTCTCCTCTACGGTCACAAGTTTCAAAACCTTTAGAATTTCTTAAACTAGAAGCCCTTCTAAACTTATCAAAAGACTTGGTGTTCTGAACTATATTCTATATCAAGTATCATAAAGGAGATATCTGTCATAGCAACCTGTCTGTGTGCTTAAGAAATATGGTATAATAAAACATCTGCTATTTCTATTTCTTGGTCTCTTGGATGCCTCCATCTGCAACCAACTTCTCAACCTTTCTAACGATTTCCCTCCCACTGAAAACATGTTTAGCTTCCTGCTCAATGGAGTTTATTTTGCTTAGTTTAGAAGAAGACATAATTGCTAAAGTGGTGAATTTCAGCAGCAACCCTAATAGTTTTCTAGTTGATATGACAGTTCTGACAATTTTATGCTTCTGATCAAATGATTGATCATGCTTTTACAAAAATTGGAACATATTCTGTCAGGACATTGGTACCAAGCCACAAGGATTATGTGTGTGTGTGTGTGTGTGTGTGTGTGTGTGTGTGTGTGTGTGTGTGTGACAGGAAAAAAAGTGAACTGAACTACTTTGGGAAAGCAAGAAAAAGATATAATTATCAATTAGTCACAGTTGAAAAAATTATATAGGGTTCATACAACAAATAATAACTTTGATTATATTTACCAACTACTGCTTGCAAAGTAAACCACTGAGATCATGCTTGAGTTAATAACTCTGGAAAATGAGAGTAGATGGGGACCTGGAAAGCAGGTGTCAGAGCCTGGATTAGGATATAGACTTTTTATATCTTAGTTGCTGGCATTTCAGTAAATTGAGTTAGTTCATTTCCTTAAGAGAACAGAGACAGAGACAGGATTCTAATATCTATTAGGATTCACCCATGTTATACATCTAGGAGATACATTCTTGACTAATGTGTTAGGTATAAGTACAGCCAGCTCTAAGAGAAACTACTATAGAAAATCCAAACTTTAAACCAATAATTAGGAAAATATGTCTTTAAAAAAAGGAAAGGCTTTAGAGGTCTTGTAAATAGTTTCCCTGGTGCATTTAAATTAATTAGATTTACTAGAAAAACAGCAATATGTCAGGAGAACATTGTTCTAAATAACCGACTCAGCTAAACTGTGAAGCGGGGGGAAGAAGGACTTGAACAATCTGATCTGTTGTTTCAAATCCCAGCATATTACCTACATGGTCATTGTCAAATGCCATATCTGTTACCCTGCATACCATTCAGGCTGGTGATGAATGTATTTTTCCTTTGAAATTCACAGTTTACAAAGAGAAATGGCAGGTGCTTATAACTAGTGTAAGGACATTATTTACCCTAGGTGTAGGTTTATCTTATTTGAAATTTGGTGCAAGATCACCTACCAGAATCACACTGTCCAAAGGGATTGCTCTGCACCAGTGAAACATACCGCTGCTATCAAGCCGGTCAGAATCTTGTACTGTTTCATACAGAAAAGTCCTAAGTAGGGAGAATGGAGAGTTAGCTAAGAACATTTGTGACACTGGTGTGACAAAGCTAAGATGTCAAACTCAACAGAAACTTGAGCCCAAAGCACAGAATAACACAAAGAGAATAACCTTGGGTCTGTGAGACTCCAGAATAAAGATTCATGTCTGAAGGACACCAGGAGCTGAAGTGTCCAGAGCATATCCAGCTGAAAACATACTAAGCACTTTGTGTGTGTGCATGCATGCACACGTGTGCACATGCATATGTGTGCATTTAGCAGACATATCAAACTCTCCTTTTACCTTACATTATATGTGCCTTGAAGGTAGTTATTTTTGCTCTTGATTTTGCTACTGTGGTGAGGCTACTATTGTTTGGGAGAAATCATGGGAGGTATTTTGGGCACCTGAAGATAGAATTTAAAAGGCTGTGAGATTGAGTCATGAATGGTATCTTTCTCGTTGGCCTGTTTTCCTCCCCTCTCCTTTCCATATCGTTTTGTATGAGTTCCTGTTGAAACATCCTTCCTTATTATATGCATTTTGTATTCTTTACACCTTCCATCACTGGCCTGCATTTAACTAAACTCTGCTCTAATCTTGGTTTAAGTCTTGGCAAAGCCCTCCATGTGATCACCCCACACTTCAGTTGGGCACAATGCTAGTCATGTAATATAATGAAGGCTTAATCTGCAGAAAAAAACTCAAAATTCCAGGGGCTGAACATAACACAGGTTCTCACTCACACTACATATATTCCTTAGGTGAACAGTTGTCTGTGCTCCACACAGCCACTCAGAGTGGTACAGAGGCTGTACTATCTTAGAGTCACACACCTAGAAAATGCATCCTCCTTAGTCATTAAGGCAGGGGAAGAGAAAGGGACTGGAGAAACACGCCTGGGCTTTTAACTGCCATGGCCCAAAGTGACACACATTTTTGATCACATGTCATTGACCAGAATTAGTCACATGCCTCCTGCTAACTTTATGGGGGTTGAGGAACATGGGAAGTGACTGAAATACTTAGTGACCATTTCAGTCTCTACCAGACTTTAAAGACCACTCCTTGTTTTATGGATAAAGGTCAAAGAGCTAACAAATGGTAAAGCTGCCATTTGAATGGAATGTTGAGGTTGAGATTGCTGATATTCAGAAGATCCAATCTTCCTTTCCTTCTTTAGCAGATGGGAAGCCAGATGGGGCCACATGACTAGTTCTGACCAATGAAATGGGAGAAGTGATGGCTGATGTAGGGACAAGCTCCCATGTGATTCTTCAGGCTCACTCCTGACCCGCTGTAGTGATGACCAGCCTGAGAACATGAGTGCCTACAGCAGAGTGCCTTGGCCTCAGTGACCTGTGCTGGACATGTAACGTGAAAAAGAAAGACACCTTTGTTGCGCTAAGTCACTGGGATTTCATGGTTGTTAGCATAGCATACATCCATCCTATTCTGACAGAAATGCTAATTCTAAAAAACACGTTGCATGGAATATTAGTAACTGGAGAAGTTGTGAGGAAATGCTTTCTGCAGTCAAATAAAGTTTGAGAAAAATGTCCCCTCTTTGAGAGTCACACTGCACTTTAGCGTTATGAAAGGTTCAAAAAAGTCGTACAAAAAAGAAATCCTTTCAAGTTTGTATAATCCAGTGTTTTACACTTATTTGACCACACACATTTACCATCTACTTATTCATTTATTTATTTAAAAATATCCTTGAAGTACCTTTTGGGACATACTGTATAGTGTCACACTGTAGGTTCAGCCGTGGTAAACAGTATGTTATGACAGCACTCTCCTGCGAGATTTTACTATATGTCCTGGGAAAAATACAACATGTTGTGCTCTGTGCTGCAGGGTGAGGGTTTTTTTTTTTTTCTGTGAATTAATACAGTTTGTTATTCAACACCTGGTCCAAAGACTCAGACTCTAGGATAATATCAAGCAATTTTGATCTCTTTAACCTAGTCAGTTTCTAAATTACTATCTTAAGTCATAATTTTCCAGACAAAGGAACTTAAGATGGTCAGCTTAGAAGTGTCAGACTTAAAGTAATGGGATAGAGAAAGGACCCAGAGAAGCTGACATGGGAGAAGAGTTTGGAAAGTTAAGAGCTTATTGCTAACAAGATTGGCCAAGGCCAAGATGCAATCCTTTGTATTCTTCCCCATTGATGACATCCCTGTAAACTTAGTGGATTCTAGTCATTTACCTGGCTAGAAGATGTTGCAATGTAAGCCTCAAGGTCAGTTTGACCAAAATGGGTTACCTTATTCTTTCAAATTAACATGCCTTTTGGTGGTTTAAATATCCTTAACTCTGCAGCTCCAACCCCAAATTCTAAGAGCCACACAGGCTCTTTTAATGATACTACATAGGACAGTGGTGATGGCTTTAGGCCAAGCTGGTTAAAGAAACTCACCAGGGAACACACCTAAGACCAGTCTGTTTTTGATTTTTATCAGGATCTGGAGAACTGGCTATGTTATTCCTTCACAGAATCTATTTTTCTCTCCACTTGTAGCTTCCTAGACACTGTCCCTCAGATGTCATGTCGATATAATATAACCAAGTTACCTGCAGGGAGGTGGCTTCCTGCTCCCTACCCTCGGCACCCAAATCTACGACAACTGCTACTATTTTTCTTCTGGTCACTTTCTTCAGCCTTTTTACTTTTCCCCTCCTTCTCCTTCTTCCTGCCCCCTCCTCCATCCCCATAATAAATGAAGACTCCTGGTCTGAAAATTAAATGCCCTTTTGGCAAATGGAAAATGGTCTTCTCCTAAGCACATTTTAGCTTGACTTGGAATACCAAATCAATCACTGTACACTCTTCTATCATAATAAAAGCATGATCTATGTACACAAGCTGTCACAGACAACATCTTTCTTCATTCTAATGTTATGGAAAACAGATATGCCTTAGAGGAAACACCTGTTGGAGACCTGCATAAAAGAAAAGGCTGGAGGAGCCCTACTTCATCATAAAGGCATCCATCTGGTGTCCTTGCCAACCAAAACCTGATGCAACTTATTTCACCATCCCTTAACTATAGCTCCCTTCTGCCATATGCCTTGCAAATGACATGATCCTTGCAGAAATATACCTTCCTAAAGAGAATAATACATCATCTGTGGGAATGTGTGGCACTAGCAGTCTTATTAACTAGGAAATGAAGATTAGAACACAAAAGCTGATGCTATCAGGGGAAAAAAGAGCCACAGAACACCATCCAGGTCATCCAGGGCAGAAAGGAAAAGCCACATCCTAACCATAGGCAAAAGCCTCTTGGGTGAGGGACCTTTCTGTGTAGGAGAGGCTAGCAAGCAATATGGGAGGAGTTACCTGAGAAGGCCCTCAGCAGGACATGTTTAGGATGAGGGCAGGGGAGTTCACTGGTCACAAGATAGGCTTCTCCTTGCCCAAGCAAAGTAGGATACTTCTACCTTGGTGCATCCAGGAGGCATCAAATCCTGAAATGTCCTCAGAGTTAGGTCTCTGACTGCCATATTTAGAGGCTGACAGGTCTAGTGTGCTGGGTGAGAATAGCTTTTGTAGCCAGTCCACTTGTGGATGTGCAGAGCAGCATGGGAATGAGGGCTCCAGCTTTCTTTGCTGATGACTGCCCTTTTCTGGGCTGTTGTAGTATGCATGAAGCCAATTGCCTTGTGAGTACAAGCTTGAACCTGTCCCAGCTAAGGAAGGCAGGCTCTTTCCTCTCTGGTTTCTGGAACCATTCTGAAGAGTACTTTTATTCTTCCATGTCCATAGCAACTTATCCTGTATGAATCCTATCACTTAAAGGAAAATATAAGTGAAGGACCATGTGCCTTTAGTTTCCAATGGTGGCTTCTGATGAAAGAGATCAAACCATGTAGGAAGTCCTCTGTTAAGGCGGTGTAGGTTTCAGTGCCAGGTCAGAAAGCACAGTATCCAAGAGTGTAAAAGTCTGCTGTCATTATTTCCTCCAATTTACAGACTTGACTCAGATTATTCTTGAAGATGATCTACCAATGGATGAGATCCTCCACTGTTCACAATATCTATTATAAAGTTTAAAAGGCACTGACAGGTTTTTTTTTTTTTGTCTTTCGCAGGCCTCATTTTTGGATGTGTTAGGAAACCCTGGCATGTAACCATTCTATCTGAAGCCTTTTTAAAACTCCATAGGTGGCTTGTAAATTCTTAGGAGGGAATTTTCTGGACTGGATGCAGAACTAT